TGCCTCTGAATGTGCAATTAAAACACGATCAAACACGGTATCTGTATGTAACTTAAATTGGATATTTATTCTGCAGAATACTTTTGGAGCCATTTCTTTGTATTTCTGTACTCTGCAACTCTGATTCTTGTTACGCATTGGTTAAGTATTATGATGCTTTTCATTTGTTATGTTGTACAGATGCTAAGTCGACAATCTAGGAGAAACATAGAACTAAACATGGATGGGTTACAGTTTACAGGGTCTATATCAACTTATGGGCTTAGACATGTGAATCAGCCCACTGCTGATACTCAAAATGCCACATACAGTTGTCTTCAAGTTACCTTTTGTCCATGGCAGTGTAATAAATTTTCAAGCTCCAGTACCTTAGTTCCTTATTGATGCTGTACCTCAATTAGAAAGATCAACTTTTTCCAGCTAGGTCTTAGCATGTGCAGACAGAGAAAAATGAGAAGCACTTCCTCTGATTAATGCATGAAGTGACAATGAACATCCGAAGAACAAAAAATGTACAAATTTAGTAGTTATTTATGGCAGCTGTTGAACCCATCTTCATTCCCTCTACAGGAGACTCATGATTGGAAATTAGAAAGACAAATATTCTTCTATGTTATGCGCCTTCACGACTACTTTTAGAGATTATGTTTGATTAGTTTGCATCTTTATTAGATTGTTGGTGTTATGTTAGGTTTGCCTGTATCTAGCCTGTTTATAAATATGCACTGTAACAGGTAATATCTGGATTTTATGAATTCCTCCATTTGTCAGTATTGATCTTCTCGAAACAATGTTGACTTACCACTTATTGGTGGTCCTTTATTTGTTCTGATCTCTGCTTTAGGTTTGTCTTCTGCCTTTCGTATTCATGTATACTATTTGAACTGAGACAATGAACTTTCATACTCATTTATTCTGTCAATGGATTTTTCTTTTTTGACTAAACTAATTGCACCCTCCATTATAGGTTACTACTTAACTTCTTGTTGGGTATCTTCTTTTTGAAATGCTTGTTTTCTGTGATAATCCAAGTAATATCGCCCGACTTAGTACTTGAGACAACATTAAGATGTCCCATAAGTGGTTACAACACTTTGTTCTCAGTAGGGTTATTATCACTTTACCCTCTTAAACTATATCATTACTATCAGTTTACCTCTTACGTTATCTTTTAGTCACTTTACCCCTATAAGTAATTCATCTCAACATGTTAAGATATTTTGGACAAAAATACCCTTTTATTTTATAACATTACTATATTGTTATTATCCCTTTATTCGTTTGGATTATAGTGATACAATCACTTTAGTTCATAATATTATTTTCTAAGCATTTTATCTCATCGTTAATCTAACTAGTATAGTCAAAAAATTTTAAATATATTTACCCTTTTTTATATATAATTAAAAATAAAAAAGTTGGAATGGTTAATCTTTCTTTTTTTCACTTTAAGAGATCAAAAAATATAAAAATAAAAGGGTTTTCTCAAATTTCTTTCTTTCACACTTATTAATATTAGGAAAAGAAAAAGAGATAGGAACTAAAAAGAAAATAAAGAAAAGTTTAACATTATCGTATTACTTTAAGATTGTCGGGATTAGAATTGGAATTTGGTTGTAAACAAAAAAGTGAAATAATTCTAAAATAATAAAAGTATTTAATTCTTTCTTATTTGTAATTTTTAAAAAAAGAATTGAGCTCTCTCTCTCCCCCTCTCCCTCTCTATCTTTCTAATTTTTTTCAATATTAATAAGATTGTCAAGAAGAAAGAAATTAATACTTTGACTTTTTTTCTTGATACTAAAAAGGAGAAGAGTCTGGATAAATTGTTTACAAAATAATTGTACGGGGTAAATTGATTATGAGATTATATTTTATGGGGGTAAATTAATAATAATTTTAAGGGTTAAACATGTCTTTTCACTTTAATTAACAAATTTCGTTAAGTTTGACCGTTAGTCTTGGGGGTAAAGTGACTAAAAAATAACGGTAAGGGGAAAATTGATAGTAGCATCAAATGTTAAGGGGATAAAGTGATAATAACCCTTCTCAGTATTCCTCTTTAAGATTATTTCAGCAGTGACCTTTCACGATTGAAATCATAGGTTTCCTTTCCTTCTCAGGTATTCAGAGACAACGAGAGCAGCTATTCTACCCAATTAATCTCTCAACTTGAATCAATAACTGTATTTCATTCCACATGATGCAACATATATGACGTTGTACAAAGCTTCTAGCTGCCAGCATCTAACTTACATTATACTTTGCAATTATACAAGGGATCGTGCCATCGTGCTGTTGCTATTCTTAGAAACATAAACAACCGTCCGCATACTTCTTGAAGGAGATTACTTCTAACAGTTTCTTCACAATTGATTTCTCCCTCAATGGTCATCTCTTGCATGAAAGAGTTTTTATTGTCCTCATTGTGAAAGTTGCTTCACAAATGATTTCTTCTTCAATGGTCACCTCTCATGAAAGTTCTCACAATTAAATTATACCTTTTAAAAATAGAAATTGTGTACCTTTCTCTAATAGAAAGATTTTTTTTTTTTTTTTTTTTTTTTGCAAATGAATCACACAAAAATGGAAATGAAAATTATAATGGTTGGGAATATTTTTACTTCACAAAATGTCAACATATATGTTAGAAATAATTTTACAATACCAAATTACAAAATTTTACCATCATTCATCAAGAAACATATTAAAATGAGTAAATAATAGTTTCTTTCTTGCTTGATCTTCAAATTATCTGACAATATACCCTAACCTTGTTCAGCAATACTAAAACTTATTGGTTAACTACACTTTGTCCCCAAATAGTGAAGTTGACAAAAGACTGCTTTTTCACTACCGAGTGTTTCTGGATTTAAGGCATATTAGCATGCAAACCCGTGCACATGCACCGGTAAATATGTTGGAAAAATTACCGTTTTCCTACTTTACTTTAATTCATAGGAATAATTTAAGACTGTTTCCACCAATTTCACTTTCTAAATTTTGATGAGGTATATACCAACCGAACTCTCTAAAGCCCAATGACATGCAGAACCATAGAGGTGACTAAAAAATGAAATCATCGATTCCTCTCAAACATTACATAAAGCATGGTGCAGTTGCTTATCAAAACACACAAAACTAGTACCTAATATTTCAGACATGTTTTAGGGCTGCCACGGATGAAAATCTTTGGTTAGTAAAAGAGAAAAATAAGAAATATTAGAAGAAGAGTTCGTGGTCTTGTGTGTTTATTCATTGTCAGAGGGATCCAATTCTTGTATTCTTTCCTTTGTCCAATCTCTTGATTTCAACTTTTTCTTCTGTTGACATTCTCTTACTCTGTACTTTTATGATTTTCTTTTTGTAATGTTGTAGAAATTTAACTGCTATTAGACTAGTTATGCTCGGAGTTAGTTCATGACACTTTTTCCTAAAATAACCCCACCACTCAAACTAACTTTCTATCTCCTACTTTATCTCTTATAATATCTACTTGTTGGACTAGGGGCAGGAGCGGTCATCAGGACGACCGCTCCTGAACGGTCCTCTCACAAGGAAAAACATGAGGAGAAAAATGATCCACGTTAGGAAAGCTTAAGAAAGGGTAAAAATGACGCCGTTCGAAATAAAAAAATTTCTGATTCCAAACGGAATCAGACGGAGCAAACGGTAGAGTTCAAAATTTGAAAAGCAAGTTGAAATTTTGAATGACCCGCAGAAAACAAAATTGAGGGAAGAGTCTTGGCGTGCTCCGTCTGAAGGTAAGGAGTTGACAGAAAACTCGTATCTCAGTTTTCTTTTCTCAAAAAACCTAGTCCCTTTTCTCAGTTTCCGTTCGAGAAACTTACCGAGAAACTGAGAAGAGACTTTGGCTACTGGGTCAACAAATGTTGTATCCATTATAAACGCTTACAAGGCAGGCGGCAAGGTAGAAGCAAACAGAGGAAATTCTTGTCCTTCAATGGAATAGCAGAAGCAGCTGCACTCTCTGAGTTTGGTGAAACGTAGAGCGTATTAGCAGACTAAGGTAATGTGACTGAACCATGTAACTAACTGTAGCCAATCATTTGTCACCCAAATGCACATCTGTTAAATGAAGGATGAAATTAGATATGAAAATGATAGAAGAATAGTAAAGTTGTACCGTATCTATGTGTTTGTGAGCATTCAGCTTTTCAGTGATGAACTATAATGGGATAGTAGTTATTGGAAGACCTAGGGATATGTATTCAAGTAAACCATCGAAAGAAATTAGGGAAAGATTAGAGAAACAAAATCACATTTAACAAGTGAATGAATGTACATTCTGTTGTAAATTAGTTACAGGTTATAGGCACTGTATTACAATTGACGTGAATCATTGTGCGCCTAATAGTTGGTCCATGCCTATGACACAATCTTAGTTTGCCCCTCTCTTCTGACCATGCGGTGTGTATAAAATAGAGGTGCAGAGTTGAATGGGGTGAAGCAGAGGAAAAGACCGACCTGTGTGAATAATAAATGGGTGTACCTGGTGTTGTAAGTAAATTACATGATGTAATAAATATATTACAATGAGTAGAGAATGCTTGTTTGGCCTTCAAATAGTAGAAAATGCAGAGTTGGTTTCGGCGGTTGTCATTGACGAATGACATAAGGTCCAGTTAAACAAAGTACCTGGAATCTAAATATAATCACCAGAGTGGATGTACATACAGTTAAAATACACTTACATCATCTGACCAACGCATTACAGTACGTATAACTTATTGTACACGAAATTGTATTTGTACATATATAATGCCATTGTCTTAGAGTATAATAGGATTTGATATACGAGTATTTGTACAACATTAATCATATTGATGGGAGTAATAATAGAATTTGGTACACGAGTAATGGGTGTAACATAACACATTATGAATGGTAATATACACTTATGTTGTCGTTTATGTACATAGTATTCATAACTGTTGTAAATTATGGCGTTTGATGCATAATTGGTAGGAGCAGAAGTAATGGATTGTAGCAAATTGGCAGAAGATGGGACCCCTGAATTAGGAATGGAGTTCAATAGTGAAGAGGATGCGTACAAGTTTTACAACAAATATGCCTTTAAAATGAGTTTTAGTGTACGGAAAGACTATCTAAATAAAGACAAAGACGGTGTGACCACGTCTAGGAGATATAGTTGCTGCAAGGAAGGTGTAAAACGCAAGTACGAAGGTGATGTGATGCCAAAGAGAACTCGAGCGCCGACGAAAACGGGGTGTGGAGCTAAAATGGTTATCGTGTTGTTTAGAGGGACAATGAAGTACCATGTGCATGACCTTGTCTTAGAACATAACCATGAGTTGCACATTGCTCAATGTTCGCACATGATGCCATCACAAAGAAAAGTGAGTGAGGCTCAAGGATTCCAAGCTGAAATAAGCGTGGATGCTGGGCTTTCATTGAAACAAAGCCACGAGCTTATGGGAAAGGAGGCAGGTGGGATGGAAAATGTGGGATATACTCGAGAAGACTTGAAACGATATCTTCGTACTCGACGGGAAAGGGGTTTGAAATATGGAGATGCAGGTAGCATGTTGAATTATTTTCAAGAGCAAACACTCGAGAATCCATCATTTTTTCATGCCGTACAGCTAGACTGTGAAGAGCAGATAACGAATATCTTTTGGGCTGATGCAGGAATGTTAATTGACTACAAATTTTTTGGGGATGTAGTCACATTCGACACAACGTACAAAACAAATAAAGAATACCGGCCACTTGGAGTGTTTGTGGGTTTTAACCAACATAGGTAAATTGTGATATTCGGTGATGTCCTTATGTATGATGAGACTATAGATTCTTTCAAATGGGTGTTTGGTACATTTCTAGAAGCCATGTGCGGAAAGCATCCAAGTACCATACTAACCGACCAAGATCACGCCATGGCAGCCGCTCTTTCAGTCGTCATGCCTGAAACATTTCGCTGTCTATGTACGTTTCACATAAGGCGTAATTTTATGAAACATCTTGGCAATCACTACAAGGAAAATAGTGATCTTCCATACATGTTTGGTGCCTGCATGTATGAGTTTGAAGAAGTGGAACAATTTAATAGGGTGTGGGAGGCGATGGTGAAGAAACACAATCTTGAAAATAATGAATGGCTCTCCGGGTTGTATCGAATTCATGATAAATGGGCAAGGTGCATGATGAAAGAAAGATGGACCGCAGGAATGCGAAGCACCCAACTTAGCGAAAGCCTAAATGCAGCGATTAAAAATCATTTGAAACTGGATCATGACCTTGTGTAGTTCTTTAGACATTTCAATCGGGTGGTTGATGAAAAGAGACATAATGAACTGATCGCATAATATGAAATGAGGCAAAAGCTCCCTATGGTAGGGTTAAGGCAAACACCTATGCTTGTGCATGCATCAGAGACGTATTCACCAACCGTATTTGTTGCATTCCAAAATGAATATGGCGAGTCAACAGCTATGGTTATATTGAGACAAAAAGATGCAGCGATGTTTGTGCAGTTTGCGGTCATGAGGTATGATGGAGGATCTGAAAGAATAGTGGTATTCAATCGGAATGATCTAAGTTTACATTGCAGTTGCAAAAAATACGAGAATGAAGGCATTTTATGTGGGCACGCGTTGAAGGTGTTTGATACCGTAGGCATAAAAATAATTCCTCCTGAGTACATTAAGAGGCGATGGACAAAAAGAGCTCGGGCTGGAGACTGTTTGGATCGGCAAGGACGGGAAGTTGTGGCTGACCCAAAAGTAATGATTTCGACTCGTTATCGGGAGCTCGCTCCAGCCATGATTAAGGTTGCAACTCGAGCAGCAATGTCAGAGGACACCAGCAAAGTAGCAATCACTATCATATCCGATTTGGCAAAAAGAGTTGAGCTACTCCTCTCAGAAAGCGAAGAGCAACCTTTGCAAAATCAAAAAAATCTGAATATGGAGGAACGGGATAAAATTGAAATTGTAAATGAAATGGGGGAGGCAGTAGTCGCAAGAGGCATTAAAAAATGAGGCGGTGGGAAGAAAAGTAGAGTGATGCGAAGTTGGGTCAATAAATTTGACAAAGTAAAAAGAAAATCTAGATTATCAAAGACTACACAGACTACGGTATGGATCAAATTTTAGTACTTGGAGAACATTTAAGCTAAAACTAAGTCATCATTATACTATTAACTAAAGTTTAGGTACCATTCATTATGAAATAATATTATTGCCATGTCAATACTGTAGGTCTCAGAATCGGAGTCGACATCGATTTCATTTGAGGAATACATGTTTATGGGATGTCGTTCATCTACTGACTCTGTTTCGGTTAGTATAAAATGGACACGACTCTTGCTTTTATTTGGATGTTTCTAACAGCATAAGTAGTTACATTGATGTTACATTGTGTGATAATGTTGTTACGGCCGTCATCTCTCATGATATATCTATTTTGTTTGTGTTATACAATGATTTGACCCATACGAAACTCGTAGACGCATTCAATGAGTCAGAAAGTGAGTGGCCCTTCAAACGCTGTTGCTCCCGATATCGATGAAAGTGAAACGGTATGCATATATTTTGTAGTTAAAATAAAGACCTTCTTGTTTGTGTAGTATACAATAAAGACCTTTTTCATGCAATATTATGTAGTTAATGTATGCTCGCTTTAATAACATATCAATTTTTATTATTCGAAGGTCCACCGTTTGGCTAATCAGGGGCCTCCTGCAAGTGTCCCTACAGAATGCATGCATCCCAAATTTTCTATTTTTTCCAAGCATAACTCCATCAGAGATGTCTTAATGGTATGATATATCATTTTTGTTTTAATATCTAGTCCAATTTAATTTTATAAGTGAGCAATATAGGCATTGATAATGATTTGTTGACAATCGATTACTTATACTATGTAATGTAGGAGGAGCGTGCGGCAATTTCAACACACTGTGATGTTGATACATATCATGTATTTGCACCATCACCCCAGGTGACAAACTTTTATCGATACATCACGTATTTATGTAATGTTGTTAATTGGAGACTTGGACATCGTATATCATTAATCGTATGTTTCATTAATAATATTTACTGATTTGCCATCATTACGCATTTTAGGAAAGATATAACACCCAGAGATTGCAACTACGCATTGACATCACCTCCCCTGAGAATAAGGTTGATGAATGATGTGTAACTATATTTTTTGAACGAGACATTAAGTGGTTGTCCCAACCTGGGAATGCTGCATATATACGTTACAAGTAGTTAATAAGCTGTTACAACTTATTGATGAGGTTGTACAAGTACCATTGATGTTTCACTCTTTTCAAATTTAGACAAGTGAATTACAATTGTAATCGCATCTAGTGTTAGTAGTCATCAATAGTTTATATTAGGTTGTATAAAATTGTTAGTAAATTATAAAGTTGGTAGAAAATTGAATTAACAATTTTACAATAGAATTGAACGTGTTTTTTGTGATCGGATATTTTTCACTAAATCGACCATAACAGTTGAATGTCTGTCGTGATATGTATACCATTGTACTACATTCAATTGCATACTTTAATAACATATTTATTGGCATAGATTGCATCGCCAAATGTATGATGTATAAGATAACACAATATAAAGTATAAATTGTCTTGATTTTGTTATGATGCTAAATTTGAATTATTATTGGGATATTTTTATAAAACATTATCATTTAGGTCATTTGTTTTGCATCGCTTGACGAAATTAGCGCACCATTGACATGATGTATCACAGGCACATCAATTGGTATTACAAGTTTTTAGCTTCATTGAATTATGGTCAAGCCAGGTCACGACCACATGTTGGTAACAGTACACAATGGGTTACAACCAATTAGGGATATGTTACTGTTGCGTTACAACTAGTTACGACTGTTTAACAGGCATGATTAATATCCAAATATGGTAAGCAATTTGTTTGAGTAGAAATTATAATGAGTATAGTTTTATCGCTACCTTGACAAACATTGGACTACATCCCTTGTTATCAGTTTATCCCATACAACACCTGGGAACGCCGTCATGCATTAGACAATGTGGTATATACCTTTGAAAGTCATCGTCGCTTGATTCAGTAAAGTCAGATAGGTCCGGGTCGGATATAAGCATGGGATCTGCTAAAATGTACTGAACATCAAATTGTTTTCCAATACCATGTCTTTTTGCGGCCTGGATCTCGTGGAATCTGTGAAGCCTACGCTGCATCTGCATAACTTCTCGCTGTAGTCTATGTAATATGCTTGCATCATTGGCTTGTGGTCCTATAACAAGATCTGCTGACCTTGTTCTCAGGACGTGGAGGCCATGCCAGCGACAAAATACCTCTAATTTCATTCTTCGCTCACGAACAAGCTCCCATATGGGTTCATGGTCCATAACGAAATAGCCAGACGATAGATGATCGTTGACGGTATTTTTAAAAATGTGGCCAGCTAGTCCCAGAAAGTTGTTGGTGTTAAGTGGAGCGTTCCTGAACTCGCCTTTGGTACCATATAAAATCCTCCCGTTTGGTGTTTCGTACTTGCTTATGGCATTTGTTGGACCCAAGGATGCTTTCTGTCTTTTTTGCCGAACATTTGATGGTGAACTTGTATGAGATCCTTCGTTTGTGGATTGCATGACTATGCTAATACCTACTGCTTTTTGGTTGGATGAAAGGAAGGATCTACTGATAAAGAATTAGGTGAGAGAAAACAAAAGTTAGAAATTTTTAACGGAGCACCTGTTTCAGACCATGCATAGTAAATGGTTTCTTCTGGCAACTTGACCAACTGCTTGCTGTGTCATTTCATGCTGTTCTCCATGGGATAGTACTCCTGGGTGAGTAGATGAAGGCATGGCAACTATCTATTAACGAGAAAATAAACTCAACGTTTGGTCAAATGTATAGTGTGTGGATGAAATAATGGTTCACTTCGATTGGGTCATGACATGTACTCCAACAACAATTGGGTCAGGTGAATACCCAGTTATACGTCAGTCACCTTACTTTTCAAGTGTAACAAGAAGTTACAACCAGCATATGTACGTTACAAGATGTTAATAAGTTGTTACTGATTATTGATGTGCTTGTACAGCCATCTTGTCATTTGCCTGTATGTTAAAACTTAGACAATTTGTTTACAATTGTATTAACGATGAGTATTACAGATAGTATTACAGGCACTTCAATATGTATTACTGCTTCAATACAAAAATGAAGTTACAATTGGCGGCTCGACTTAGTTCCACATGACCACATAATAAGTAACAGTTTCGCAGAAGAACATGATACTTCATTGGGACAAGTAATTTGAAAGTAGGGTAACTAATATTTAAAATGCAACAAATTTTGATTACTTCATGTACATGTTGAGTTACAACCAGTAATGTATATGTTACAATTCGTTACAACTAATGAATTTGCAATCCCCTGTTTTTTTGTCTTATGTAGTTAAAACTACTGATATTACAACTAGAAATTCCCTAATATTACAACCAGTGATTTTACAACTAGTTAATATCTGATGAACCTTTCCTCTTCTCTTGTTTGTGCAATTGCACTTGGCACAAACAACAAGTCCTCCCCCCAACACATAAAATTTCTTAGACACTTTAGTAAGTGTCTAATGAGAACATAGAGATGGTCGATTCGAACCCCAAAACAATTGATGTAGCGAGGCCTTCTCGAACATCTCATTAAATTAGCGAGATCTTCTCGAACATCATGCAACCTGCTGGCTGCTATTTGGCACCCAAGAACTTGATTTCTGTGTGAACCCTCTATTGATGATACTGCAATTAAGGTTAGAGAAGGGTTGAAGAATACTAATAATAAATTTCAGGCACGGGTTCATTGCCACCCTTCACATTTCTATTGAAATGGGAAGTGTGAAGTTATTGAAAATGGAAAATGTTTGTGTAGTAATGAAAGGTGGGCGGAAAAATTTTTGTTGTTGAGGGATATACTACTGCAACCGCACCTTTTTATAGTCCGCAAGACCCTCATAATGTGATAAAATATCACTGGACAGCGCATTCCAGGCCAAACAATTTTGTCATAGCAGTGGAAGCTGTAGAGTTCGATGCATGCCCTTGAACTGTGTCAAATCTGTTCAGACAATGAAACAAATTATGCAGCTTTAGTCATGAAATGACCTGTACACCAATATTAAGGGTCACGTGAATAAAGAGTTACACATCGTGACCTGTACGTTTCACTATGTATGGATTGCGTTACAACCAGTTAGGTGTATGTTACAATTCATTATAACTAAT